AAAAATAAAATAAAGGTATTGTGTCCATCTACTATAAAAAATATATTTTTAAAAAATCTGATATTGTTTGGGCTGGGGATGTGGCTCAAGCGGTAGCGTGCTCGCCTGGCATGCATGCGGCCCGGGTTTGATCCTCCCACATACAAACAAAGATGTTGTGTCCGCCAATAACTAAAAAATAAATATTAAAAAAATTCTCTCTCTCTCTCTCTCTCTCTCTCTCTCTCTCTCCCCGCCCCTTCTTTTAAAAAAAATCTGATACTGTTAGTTCTGCCCACTTCAAATGCTTAGAAGCAATGACTTTAGGTACCAATGAAGCATATCTAGCACTCTGATTAGTTTCTAAATACCATTCCCACCTCAAATACACCAGGGTTCCTTGAAAAAATACTTGGTTCCAGAAATAGCTGATTGAAATAGGAAACTATAGGGTGAGTCTGGAAAATCACACTGCACCAAAGAAGGTGAAAAAAAACTGATTTTCATGGATATGATAAGTGGATTCAGAAATTTATATTAAAAAGCAAAGGTCTAAGAATAACCAAGTCACTCTTGGTGAAAACAACAACAAAATAACTCATGGGCATGCCCTACCTTATGTCAASACTCATTATAAAGTAACAGTAATTAGATAGTTATAACTGAGTAGTATGTACCTAATAGTAATTAAGTAATTGAAAGACAGTTCTAAACAGAAATAAAATCACTGATCAATGGAATACAAATAAAATCATGGCATTTGCAGGTAAATGAATGCAGTTGAAGATAATTGACTTTGACTACACACTCAAACATCATGGAAAAATCATTTAGAGACATTTTATAGAAAAGGAAATGCATGTGCCATAAACATATGAAAAAATGCTATCAATTGGTTCCAGAAATATCTGAGCAATGCATATTAAAACTACAAAATATTATCTTACACTTACAAGATAGGCAAAATTTAAAGTTTGAGAATAAAGTATTATTAAGGAGAATGGAGATGAAAGGGAAATTTTATAATGTGCTAATGTAAGTATAATTTGGTTTAATCACTTTGGAAAATAGCCTGTCATTATCTTGAAGTCCAATATTCTCATGCCCTATATTCAGTAATTCCAGGAGGCATATGTCCTAGAGAAAGTCTTGCATGTGTGATCACACAGGCATATACAGTACTTGTGAGAGTAAAAACTGGAAACACCTCAACTTTCCATTAAAAAGAGAAAAAAAATTGTGACATATTCACTCATATATTTATACTCACAAACATGTAGGATATAAAATCAACACACATATGTATTGTAATGCTTATATTGCTTGTGTAATATTCAAAATTATTTCAAAATTTAGGGAATGAACAGGCATTTATATCAGAATATAACTTTTAAAAAAATCAATTGAGACTACCATCAAATTTCCCCTGTATTTACTTAGAAGGCTTAGTAACTAGAATATATGCCAAGAACTCACAAAACAGGGGATCTCTATTAGCTTGAAAGCTACCTAATCAATGTTGTAGAGACATATCTGTTAGTGAATAAATTATGAAGTTCTACCAGAAAAAATGCAGAGTCAACAGAAATATTCAACAAAAKATATAGCTAAGAATGATCCTAGAATTAAATGAGAATTTTCATATTTTATAAATGTTTAAAAAGAGAGATAATATGGGTTGGGTACAGATATATAATTACTTGACTAGCATTTTTGATAAATTTTAGAGCTGAGATCTTATTAAACTTGTCCACTTTGAGTTAATTCTTATTGAAAACAGAACAAAATGAATGTGGACAATTTTCTAAATGTAGCCTGGGTAACAATTCCTATTACTCTACCAAATGATGTTTATTCAAAGTAATGTTACAGAAACTCTCCTGTAAGCATAAGGATAYATTTATAGAAACATGTCTAATTATAAATATTTATAAACTGTCTTGTATATCCACTCATGGGAGAATGATTAAATATGGCATCTCCAGACAATGACACTTAAAAATGAAGTTAATCACTACAAACTAATGTGAAAAATGTCTATAACATTTTGCTGAGCAATAAATCAAACAGAGTCCAGTCAGTATGATCCTATGATCCCATTTTTCCTGAACACACATGCATACATGTGCCTATGCACATAAATAGAAGCACACAAACTCTGGCACATACACAGCAAATGTTCAACAATAATAGACTTCATGCATTACAGTAAGGGAGAAGGGAGACTGATTTTTACATCTTGGTACTGTTTGAATTTTTTATTCAATCAAATAGCCTGCTCTCACAATTTAAACATATGTGGTGTATACACACATACATAAAATAAAAAATAAATAAATTCATATATAAATATGCATGTTTATCAGTGTATCATAAGAGAGGTTTACAGTGTTTTAATACCACAATATATTTAAGCCTTCTCATAAACCTAAGAACCATCAATGTGACCTCTATGACAACTTAACTGAATGACTTTTTCACTGAAAAGTCAACAGCATTGCTTTAGTACTATCCATAATGCATTTGGAGTCTCTCAGTAGCAGATGTAGATTAATTTTTGTGCAGTTTCCATTGCAAATATGCTCTTCACAAAACCACAGCATCTTTTACGTGTTCAAGAATGAAAATCTCATGCTGTTGACTTTGCAGATTTATTTCTGAAACATTTCCTGTTGTATTAAACAACCACAAATGTTGGATACACAAAATATAAAATCACTCCAGAAAGAAGTTTTATGGGTAAAGAAAATGCTGGAAATGTATAAATTATTTTCTATATTACTATTTGGAGTATATTAAAAAATAACAATCAAGAACTGTATTTTGGTAACCCTGGTATTGAGCAATAATGAAAAATAACAGTTCCAGGAATTTGATGGGGCCCAGTATATAACATTTTTCTTTCCTGCCTCACATCTGCCCAATTAAAAAATAAGGAAGAAATATGAGAGACTAAAACGTCTTATTTACTGATAAAGCAGAGTCTAGAGAATGCAGTTTACATCTGCAGACCAGGTTATTGAACTCAGACTAATGACTCACAACATTATAGGCAGAACTGGACTCCAYAAGCCTTCACTGTAAAACCACTCTAAAACCTAGTGAGTGGGTAGACAAGCAGTGGAAGACAATTGTCTGAGGCAGGCCCACCTCCAAAATGATAGGAAAAGGAAAAGACTGGGCTCTACATCACCCAGTTTATCTTTATAAACTATGCCTAAATTATAATTAAACTTTTATAGGTAAGTATGTATATATAGGGAATAACATAGTGCAGTAGCCCCCCCATCTGTGGGGAAACTATGTCTTTTCTACAAATACATAACTATACATAAACCTGATAAAGTTTAATTTATAAGCTAGTTACGGTATGAGATTAACAATAATAACAAATAATGAAATAAAATAATTATAACAATGTGTTCTAATAAAAATTATGTGAATGTGGTCTCTTCTTCTTGAAAGAATCAAGACAAATGTGKTTTTTTACCACAGTTTACCATCATAACTTCAGAAACTGAGGAAAGAGAAATTATGGATGAGGAGTAAACTGAAGAAATAATAAGCTCAAGAGATGAACCGATATTAAAGTGCTCTTTTGTAATTGCTTTCTTACTGGTTAAAGTTCAATAAAAGTAGAAGTTTAATTATAATAACCTTAAATAAAATTGTTTCTCAATTAGGGATATTTTTTAACCTTCAAGACAAGTGTTATTGCACTAATTATCAGATTGATGGTCCTTTCTCTGAAATATTATATTCAGTGCTTGCTTTTACTCTTCATATATAATTCAGATATAACCCTGAATTATCACACTTGAGAAAATTTTTACAAAAAATATTAGTAGGAAAACTAAGTACAGAGATCAAGGAATTTAAAGTGGGAACTGATAAAATTGGCAACTCATTAATAACTGCTAAAATACAATGAATGAACTAGGTATACGGACTGATGTTCCCTTCTATTCCTGTTTCCTCTGTCACCATTTTTTTTTTTTAAGGAAAAAGCATTCTCTAACAGACTTGCRTGTTTAATTTTAACTCAGGGAAAACTTCATGACTGAGTGATAAAACCACAAAACTGGAGTGCATATTGGAAGCTCTCACACTACTAAGTATGATGATACCAGTGGGTACTACCATTTTTAAAAGTATAAAGAAATCAATGAGCAGACTGTCATTACAGAAATTCATTCTGTATCATATATATCACCCAAGAGGTTGATATTTTATGCTTATAAAACTTAACATAAAATTAAATTGCAAATATTTTCTCACAATCTACTAAAATTATGGCCTTAGGCAAAACATTGCTAATATGAAGCATTTGTTCAGCTCTAGTGGACATATTTCCTCTATGATTTATGTGAAAAAAGGCTTCATTTGCCTCTTCATAGATTCAGTAATGAGKTTTCATTTCTTATTTAAGGCTAGAAAGTACAGGAATTTTAAAACTTAGAAGTCAGCAAATATAACCCTGAATTATCAATAAAAAAATACTCAAATAAGAAACTGGAGTTCTTTTCCCCTTATGTTTATGACTATGTAATTCAGACTATCAGCTATTATTCAATTATTCAAATACATTAAAAGCACTATTATACACAAAAAACAGTTTTCATTCTTTGGGAACCAAATCAGAGTAACAAATTTCAGGTAAAAGGGGAGATTCTCTGATTCTCTACCCTCTGGAACCTATAAAGATTAAATATAATTTCAGTGTCTCCCTTAGAAATAGGAATAACAAAAAGGAGAGTTGTCTTATCTTTGGGGATATGAATAACAGACTACGAGATGGAAGTAAGTAAAAAACTGATGTCACTGTTATCAACCCAATGCATATGGACTTTCCAAACAGTGAAGTGTATGCTTTCCAGCAAGTTTTTAAACATACAAATAAGGAAACAATGTCTTTATCTTTTAACTTTGTAAAAAAAAAAAATCACTAAACTTTTTGCTAAAGTCTATTTAACTATTTAAATTACCAGATTTTATACCAAAATATAATAGACAATTCTCACCTTAAGCATTCAGCATCATTTTGAGGCTTTTCTTTGATTTTTATCTTTTCTGCCTCTAGGTTTTTGGTAGTACAAATGGCGTCATTCTCTTCATCTTCAAGAACTAAACAATTAAGAAATTTTTTACAATCTTTTAAAAATTAAACATAAAGGTTATCTTTATTCACTTTTATGAAATAGTTTAACTGTGCTGCATAACAAATGTACATACAATGTTTTTATTTCTACTTTAATATAGCAATTAAAGGCACAAAAAAGATCTTTACAAAATTCATGATATTAAATAACACCAGTTCTAATCCTGATTGATTCAATGTTGTTTCTATTTCTTTTTTATACCAATACTAGCATTATATACCATTGCATTTTGAAAGAACAATATAACCCAATTATGTGCATATAACTATTCTGTCAGCAAAACAGACTAACTTATGAAAGTAATACCTTTATGTTTTCTCTGGAGAATAAGCAATTCTTGTATCAGTTCACTCTTTTGTTTTTGAAGTTCATTCAACTGGCCACTATCTTGTTCCACTGACTTCATTTCTAGAAACAAATACAATAACATCCCAAAATACATAGAAATAAATTTAATCAAGCAGGTAAAAGATTTGTGCACTGAAAGCTATAAAACATTTATGAAAGAAACCGAAGAAGGAGAGAAATTGAAGAAGACATAACTAAACAGATATACCATGTTCATAAATCAGGATTAATACTCTTAAAATGTTCACAATACCCAAAGCAACATACAGATTCGATGCAACCCCCATCAAAATCCCAATGGTATTCTTCACAGAAATACAAACCCCACATCACTAAATGTCTACAAACAAATYGGCAAACATAACCCATATTTGAAGTATTTAGGCTTAGCCTTTTAACATATAAGCATTATTGACTTTTTTCTCATATATGAATAATTTAAGTACAATTTAATCAATTTTAAGCCCATTTGGCTATCCCTTACTACCTATGAACTGTCTTTAATAAACTAATCAGCACTAATTTATCACCAACTGGACACAAAAGGATAAATTAGATGGTGGTTAGGCTATCAAAAAAGAATATGAAACATGTAATACCAATAAGTATAAATAAACTTTCTCATAAGATGATAAGAAAACTATCTTTCATAACTACATTATGTTTAAAATAATATTTAATAATATTCACTACATGACTACCAGCTTTTCCCTTTTGTTCTTTTTAGATATACATGACAGTGGAATGTACTTTGATATATTATACATCCATGGAGTATAACTTATTCTACTTAAGATCCCATTCTTGTGGTTGTACATGATGTGGAGTTACATTGGTTGTGTATTCATATATGAGTGTAGGGAAGTTATGTCTGATATATTCTACTGCCTTTCTTATTCTCATCCCTCCTCCCTTCTCTTCATTTCCCTTTGACTAATCCAATGAACTTCTATTCTTCCATCCCCAACTTTCCTTACTATAAGCCTTTTCAATGTTACTAATATTATTTCTTTCACCTAAAATCCCCTGCCTCCCTTTATTCTCATTACAAACTCCAATTCGTCCTTTAAAACTCATCTAATCTTTCAAACATTTTAACTTTTCTGCCATGACTTCTGGGACTCCAGTAACACATACATTAGGCTGCTTGATTTTATCCCACAGGTGTCTGGGGAGCTTTTTAGGTTTTTGAAGTCTTATTTCTCACTGTGTTTCTGCATTCTCTGATCTTCTGTTAATCCCTTCTAAGCAACTGTTACTATCAGCTATTGTATTTTCTAACCCCTATAGCTCCTTTGATTATTTTTGCAAAACAATTTTTTATTTAGATAATTCACACACCATATAATTAACCCTTTAAAGGGTATAATTTAGCAGGATTTAATATAGTCACATATTTCTGCATCTATAACTTCAGTTTGGAATTTTTTATCATTCCGTTACTGTTAGCTATCACTGCCAATTTCAACAGCTTCCTCAGCTCTAGGTAACTATAATTTACTTTCTACAAATATGGATTTGCAAATTCTGAATATTTCACAAAAATGGAATCATACAATACATGGCCTTTTGTGTTTGGCCTCTTTCACCTAGCACTATTACAATGATTTCAAGGACCATCAATATTGTAGCATGTATCAAATGTTTTCATTCTTTTTATGCTTCAATGAAACTCCATTGTATAGATATACCATATTTTATTTTGGTACTGATCAATAGATAGACTTTTAGATTGTTTACACTACTATGAATAATGCTGCTATGAACATTCACATGTGGACTTTTGTTTTAAATCCTCTTAAATGGCATAGGAGTAGATTTATTAAGTCACATGGTAACTCTAGGTTTAATGTTTTGAGAAACAGCTAAACCTTTTTCAAAAGCAGCTACATAATTTGGCATTCCTACCAGAAAAACTTGAAGTTTCCAATTTCTTTGTGTCCTCACAAACACTATTATTATCCAAATGTATTAAAGCCACTCTAGTGGTATTTCATTGTGTCCTGATTTGCATTTCTCCAATGGCTAATGATGTCGAACATTTTTTAATGTGGCCTTTTCTCTCTTTTGGATAATGACTTCTAAGTCCTTTGTTAATTTTTAAATTGGGTTGTCTTTATTGTTGAGTTGTAAGAGTTTTTATATTCTGAATCCCTTATCAAATACTTCCTTGATAATATTCTTCAAAGCACAAGCATTTTTAATTTTGATGAAATCAAATTTATCTACTTTTATTGCTTGTTCATATCTAAAAACAAAAATTCCCACTAAACTTTATTTCAAATGACTTTTCATAGTACTCAAACACACAACAAGTTTTCTCATTATTACTAATATTGTTTCTTCTACCTAAAATCTCCTACCTCCTTTTATTCCTACAACTAACTCCAATCCATCCTCTAAAATTCATTTCCTAATGAATGAAGATCTACACGGGTATTTTTGTATTTTGGTTTTTTTCAGTCCTTAGCACTGAAAAAAGTTTTACATTTCCAGCTCTGACATAATTTAGGTCTTTTTGATCCATTTTGAGTTAATTTATGTGTATGTCATGAGGTAGATATTCATATGCATTTTAGAATGTGAACAGTTAAGTTATTCCATTACTATTATTTTAAAAGACTATTTGAATTATCTTGTTATCCTTGTCAAAACAAATTGACTTGCATTTCCAAATGAATTTTAGCATCATTTGGTCAATTTTTAGCTAACATCTAGCTGGGATTTTGATGAGAGTAACACTAAATCTTTATACCACTTTTGGAAGTATTGCCATCAAACAATATTGTGTGACAATCCACAAGCACAGGATTTCATTTTATCTGTTTGCTTAGTTCTTTAATTTTCTTAACAATGTTTTTATAGTTTCTTGTGTTTTGTAAAACTCATTCCTAATTTTTGATGCTCTTATGAATAAAATTTTCTTAAATCCACTTATAAATTATTTGCTAACATAAAGAAATGATTATTTTATATGTTGACCTTAAATCATGCAACTTTTCTGAACTTATAAGCTCTATTAGTTTTTCTTCAATTCCTTAGGATTTTATATATACAAGATAGTGTGTCTTTAAATAGATATTTTTAATTCTTCTTTTCAAATCTGGATGCCTTTTGTTTCTTTTCTTGCTGAATTACCCTAAAATATAGTATTGATTAGAAGTAGTTAAGACTGGGTATCCCTTTCTTATTCCTAATTTTAGATGGGAAACTTCCATTCTTTCACCATTAAGAATGATATTTGTGAGGCTGGGGTTGTGGCTCCCGGTAGAGCACTCACCAAGCACATACGAGACACTTTGTTCGACCCTCAATACCACATAAAAAAAAATAAAGAAATGACATTTGCTATGTTTTTTCATAGATGTCCTTTATTAGGTTGAAGAAAATCCCTTCTATCCAGTTGAGTGTTTTCATCATTAAAGGATATTGGATATATTGGATATATCACATGCTTTTTCTTTGTCTGGCTATTTATAATATCTTCTATTTAATTCCTAATTATGATCATGTCCTTGAAAATACAATATTTGCTTAAGCAGTTTTAAACTCTTTGTCTTCTAACTGCTGTCATATCTGAGTACATTTCTATTGACTCGATTTCCTCCTTCCTCTAAGTTCTGATTTGTTGCTTCTTCACATATCTAGAAATTTTTGACTGTATGCCAGACATCGTGTTTACAATTTTATTGAACTTTTGAGTTTTTCTGTCTTTCTCTACAGCATTTTATGTTTGTTAGAGCAGTTAAGTTGTTTATGAATGAGGTTCATACTTGTTTATAAACAACACTTTTATAGGGTGGGTCTATAAGAGCATTTAATCTAGGTAAATTTAATACTATTATTAAGACAGAGCTCTTCTGTTTAATGAGCTATTTCTATTATATAAGATGGAACATAAATAATTTATCATTTTATGAAGTGAGCTTTTAGAATTATTCACTTTATCACTCTATGGTAGTTTTCCTTGACTAAGCCTRGTGGGATTTCCCCAATGTATGCACAAGTTAATGTATAGCCAAAGAATAAAGGGGACCCTATACAATAGATTCTATACAAATTTCTGGAGCTTTTACTTGGTAGTCCTGCCCTCTCAAGTACATTGACTTGAAGAGAACTAGCTGATTTGACCTCCCTGACCTCCAGTCTTTGTGTCTTCAACTCCCATCAGATCACTTTTCATGGCTTAAGTTCCTCCTCCCAGTACTACTGTACAAAAACCAATTCTAGGTAGRAGTTGGAATAATCGTAGGCCGTACCTCATTTGTTTTTTCTCTCTCTCAAGGATCAAAATCCTACATTGTTAATATCTGAATGTTAATAATATTCAGATATTAATATCTAAAATAATTTTCCATATTATTTTAGTTTTCTAGCTGTTTATGGTAAAAGAGAAAATTCCATAAAACTACTCCTTCATGATCATAAGTGGAAACCATCTACATGATACTTAAATTATCCTCTTACTTATCTCTCTTTTGCATTAGACCATAATTTTCTTGAAAACAAGAATTATCCCTCATTTATCTTTAAATTCCACTTCTTGCATAATGCCCTGCATAGTATATAGAGAGCACATATGTCATGAAATATATTGAACTGAATTAAAATAAATCAGATAATTGTCTTTAAATCTCTTTGATTATTCATACTTTCTGTCTATTAATGCAAGTAATGTTAAAGTAGACAGTTCTAWGAAAAGAAAATGACTCACATTTGTTCTTTTGATCTTTCAATAAATGAAAATATAAAAACATATATATAGCCCCCATGCTAATAATTAAGAGACATGATTGAAGATACCATTAACACAATCTTGAGAGTAGAGAAGTTTCATTTTTCATTGTTAGTTGATTATCAGACATTCTCTGATAAAATATCTTTGTAAAACTCAGGCAACAATGATGAAGAAAGTCTGGAGTTTAAATATTCCTGAAACAGAGGATATATTATTTTTAAAGTCCTGATTCCCTAGAGTAAATAGTCTGAGGATTGATTCTTTCAAGAAAAAATAAAACAAATGTGCAAATATTTTCCTAAGGAAGCTTATAGAACTGAAA